GAACCTCGCGAGCGCTAAAGAAATGTTATTACGTGCAAATGTGGCCAACCGTCGCCCGTTCTAGGGAAATAACATTTTGGTTTTGCTCCCAAATCTGTTATATGTGATCCTGTCTTCTAATTCTGGACCTAGTCCTTTTGTTCCACGTTCTATGCGGAGAGAGAGAGAGAGAGAGAGAGAGAGAGAGAGAGAGAGAGAGAGAGAGAGAGAGAGAGAGAGAGAGAGAGAGAGAGAGAGAGAGAGTACTCGTCAAATTGATCTGAAAGTGGGGACTGAAGGAACGTGTTGATTGTGTAGTCCCAAAATGCCATCACTAACAGATGTAAAACTACTTAATAACCAGGTCACATCCAGTGCGTCAATGTCTTCCTAGGATAAGTGAACTTGGGTCTATTCCTAAACTACCACTGAGATCAAAGCAGTTCAAAGAATAAAGAATAACGCGAATGTTGCCTCATTCATCATCATGTTTTCTTCCATCATAAAAGGATGGCTTTTAGTGCATCTTTCACATAGGGGTACTTGAATGGGAACCCCAGTTCCGTGGCCTTAGCAGGGACCACCTTTTGTCCGTCCAAAACCTGTGGCGAAAATTGGCCTCAATTAACTGCGAAGAGAGAAGAATGCAATGAAATACAGGGGAGAAGTCCTCACCACACAAGCACCTTCTCCGAGCACCACTTTGAGGGCAAAATCTGGTACGGGCAACCAAGAGGGCCGGCCTAATACATCTCCCAGCTGTCGACACAACTCTGTCAAGCGTACCGGATTCGGCGCAGTCCCATTAATAACTCCTGTTAAACCTCGCTATCTTAGCAAAAATAGAGAAAAAGGTGTACTGCTTTTAAGTTTTATATGTGATCAAAGGTCATCCCTACGAACTGTCTGCTAGCTGAACTAATAATGCTAAGTAGGTGCAGTAATTAATCGGCAGTTCAAACTTCAAAGCTTCACCTTTGTAAGATGGATTGATTAGAGCTTCGTATATCAGGTTTACTAAGTCATCTACGTGAATCCATGAAAACCTACACAATGATACAAATTATTGGTTTCTCAAACAATCATGTAAGCCGCATTTCAACCTTACCAAAAAAAAAAAAAAAGTAAGCCGCATTTCAATTACATAAAGCCACAAAGATACAACAAAACAGTAAATAGTTAAAGGAACCACAAAGCTCAGGTATACATGATAAAACCATTGGAATTAATCAGATGCTACTATTTCTCCATGCTTCTTGCTTTACAGAGCAGGACAGGAGCAATGATCCTAGATGAAAACTATGTCTGGAAGTAGGAAGTAATATAGGGTAAAATATTCAGAAATCAGTACCATTGTTGACCAGAGCCCAATGGTCCACCAGCAAACATCATGAAGAGAGGGACCATTTTAGCTGCAGGGGTATCACAAACAGAAGCAAGCAACTTAACAATCGTTCCACAAAAAACAAACGGACCTCACGGAAGTCCTTAAATGCATAAAGTGTATAATTTTAAGAAGTTAAATGCCCAAAAAATTTTTTAGAACTAAAGTGCCGAACCAATACAAGTTTTAGTACTTCTGCTGTTATTATCCCTGTCTCATTGAATCAGCCCAATTGGTGGGGGTTTTTTTAAAATATAGTCAATAGAAGACCAAGGAACAAAAAAAGTCATCACCCTTTAAGAATGAAACTATCAAAAGGAAAATCAGGCAGATGGCTAGCAAGTCAGAAAGCAGATAGAAAGCACATTATACCTAAAGCACCGCCATCTTTACCAAGAACAACACCTATACGGATAAGGGCAACCCTGACATCCTTGTTCACTTTGAGAGCCGTTGCCTCCCATTCTCTACAGACCTGCACAAAAATGCTTCAGTAGATAAAGCACTTGCTAGACTTGATTATTGTGCATAGCAGAAAAAAACTAACGTGAACTTCTCTTTGCATATCTTCTCAAAAAGACAAACATTAATTTAACATCCTCTCTAACAACAGAAGAACAAAAACCATCTGCATTTAAGATAGTGTTAGAAGCTGCGAAAGAAAGCATAATTGTGTTCAATCATTTCAATGGTCACACAAGACTTCTAATCCTTTCATCAGATTATATATCTATTTTGATTTTCTTAGATTACTATATCTCATAAGTGTTTTTTTTTTGGTCGAAACTATTTCTCATAAGTGTGAAAATAAAAAACAAATAAAAAGCTAATTTCATGCCATGTGTTATCACAAGAATGGACATGCATCAATCCTCTATAAGCCCATAGTTGAACTTAAAGCAGCACACGCGCACGCGCACGCATGCACGCATTATCTAGCTAACGCCTGCAAAGGAAAATGTGACAAGGTCTGAACATTTCATGACTTGCCAAGCGCAGCTTTTTTGTACTAACCAAGAATGGCACATTGCAATATAGCTTCACATTGCAGGACATGCCGAACAAATAAAAGGGCATTCCAATGCACAAGGCATTAAATGCATATTATTGACATAGAATATCAGGATTGATGGTTTGAGAGACTGACCTGATGAGAATGCCTCAATGGTTTGATTTCACTAGTACTACAATCAAACAGGAGTGTCCCTTTCATATTATTACTGACTCTAACCAGAGGAAGGTTGCAAATCTATGGAAGTCAATTTTAGTTCCATCTACAAAAGCTCATCGGGGTAAAAACCGTTACTTAATTCCCAGAGTCACAAATTTTGGAACCATAGTAACAAGGCAGGGAATTCATCTTTCTAGAGGCTTAGTTATCACTGAATCGCTGATAAATCAAAATTTAAACTAAATGAATGGACAGGAACAGGGTAGGGACGATGAAAGATGTTTAAAAAAGGGAATATATAATGCAAAGATGCTACTATCTGAGTCCTGCATGTAACCATTGTGAACAAACTTTCAAGGCAGCATCACTATTTGTTCTTGTTTCTTTTGAGTAGTCAGAGGATGTGCTTGCAATATAGTAGGAGTATGGCTAATTAGAACCTATTCGTGTTTTGCAATTCCAAATTGTAAATCTGAAGCAAGAACTTAAGGCAATAATGTCAGTGTTAACATGATGAAGAGTAAAAGAATTATGAAGTTTGTACATGTTTCCCATAAAAATTCTTGACTTCATTCGAAGCAAGATGAGAATAAGAATATAATACGATTGAATGACCAACCTCAGCCAAGTAATCATTTCCCGATGGACTACGCTCATTGAACACTTGTGTTTCACTGGTGCCTGAAGATTTAGAAGGAAAAAATCAAACATATGATTAGGTTCATGTGAAGCGTCAAGAGTATCCATTTGTAATCAGAGAAGTGCAAATTAAACACCAGAGAGTAAAGGCAATTTAAGAAGTAAAGAGTAGATTGTCGGAACTATCATGCCCACATCTCTATCACGATTACTCAAAGGATGAAGTCAACACAACTGGTGACTAATTATTGAAAGGATCTTCTTCCTAAACTTGTTTTCCTCCTTATACAAAGATATAGGATTCTTTCAGCGGTTAAGGGATTCACTCCCTTTCATTCAATGGCAGAAAAACTCGAACAGTAGCAACATATGACTCAGGTAATTCAATGCGTTAACACTTTGCTACTTTATTAGATTTTCATTTGCAAAAGTCAACCATTATGCAAGTTTACCATTCATGAAGCATATAGAAGTATAATCCCTCCAAATATAATCACAATGCTGTGACAAAATGCATGTCTAGGGATGCATGGTCCCAGGCTACACTAATATTGATTCACACAGTAATAAACTACCGTTGAAAAAAGTATCTCTAGACAATTGCCTTGATTTTACAATGAGACATTTAGCTGTCGAGCCACAACAACATAATTAATGTTTAGATTTCTCTCCAGCCTAAAACAAAAATAAATTACACTGCACACATTTATTCCATAACACCAACAATTCCACATCCCCCCCCCCCCCCCCCCCCCCTTCCCCCCCCAAAAAAAAAAAAAAAAAACCCAAAGCCCAAAAGGAAAAGGGGAAAAGCCAAAAGGCAATACAGTGGCACATTCATTTGATTTTGCTCTGAAGTCTCCATATGGTATTGTGTGATAACATGTTAGGCTAGCACCTCATACAGCTTTTTGACAAAACACATGCACAGTAAATGAGTGCTATCATGCTATGTTTAGCGTAGCAGTCACCAGAAGAACAGTAGAAATGGGATCAGAAAGAGACCGTAGTAACCAACAGCAGTTGCGCTGACCAAAACAGTAGGCCGATTTTCTTCTGGGGATGCATTTATGTAATCTACAACCTTGAGTCATTGAAACAATTATGTGAACAACCAAGAAACATAATCTGATAATGTTATTCCTCTTTGGATTAGTAACTTCATTCTATGTGAAATATGAATCATGACATCATGTCATGTCGTCATAGCTCAAAAGAGTCTACAGAATATACTGATGGAAAAAGGAGAAATGTTTTCTGACCTTTGAGGTAACCCTAATTCTGCTGTCTTTTATCTCTTTTTTTATCTGCAAAAAATCTTGAAAATCACAACATGCCTGACATGCAGATACACCTTTTCATGTAGTGGCATGACTAACTGAAGGAAGACAGGTGTCAAAAACCATGAGATACAGTACCTATGCTTCAAGTACCATTCCCTTTTCTTATATTCTCTACGGATAGGTAAATCCTTGTCTTAATCATGTTCCCTTTTGCAAATTAGTTTCTGATGATGTTTATAATAACTTAGACACACAGAAATGACATATCTAACAGATCATACGATCTGAAACTAAGAAGATCATTCTCAATGTAATAGAAACATAGTAATAATACAGTTCACTTTCTTTCATGATTAGCCAACACAGCTTCTTGGAAGGTAATATTTGACAAGAATAATAAATTCCATTATCATACTGACCTCAGATGACCACCTCGTACTAATTGGCATTCCGGCAAGATTGACAACAGCATTTGACATTTGGATGCAGTCTTTCCACTTTGGCTCCTCCGCAACTATTAGTCCAGGATAATCTTTCACTATGTTTGCCAGGAAGTAATGAAGGTCAGAGTAGACATATTTAGCATTTCATGTGGCAACATGCAGCTGAAACTATTATATACATGAAGAAATTACGCACAGGTAAATATAGGCCAAAAAAACAATATCTGTAATTCAAGAAGAGTAAATCTGTGCACATATGTGAACGAATATGCATAAGCAATGCAATATTGTTATACAATTCCAGCAGATCGTATGAAAATTTTTATGTGCGTTCCAGAAATTATGAAACTCGTAAAGGTACCTAAAAGTAGTCGACCAAAAACAAAAGGTATCTAAAAGTAGTCATTACCTTCTTACCTGGAAATATTAACTCTGCTCTTGATCTAGAACGAGTCAAAACATGCACAGTATGATTGTCTGCAAGACAGAACACATTCAGATCCCTGTTTAACATTTCTAGCCAAAACAGCAATCATTCATGTATTCAAGGTCCCTAATTAGATGGGAGAGGCAGAATGAGCTTGTTCAATATACTTCATTAATAGATCAATTATTTCACAATAATCTAGGACAAGGAATATCAAAGCACTTGAGACAATTTATTCTTAAACACATGCTTGTTGGTGGGAGCATATGAAGAGAATGAACCAAACAATACTTCAATAAGTCCATAAGGTTCCACATTGCTATGTGCTCGATGATGGACATGAAGGCGTGAATAAACTCAAATCCTTGGTGGCATGCATCGTAAGAAGGTGGAGGTGCTGGCATGCACATTATGGTGTGCGACTGGTGAGTGGTCTGAGCATGTCATTGCAAATTGTCCATGAAGAACTCTTGGACATATATACTGCTGCAAGTAGCATTAAAGAAGATGGACAAAAACTAAGAGTGAAACTAAGTGGCAACTGAGAACTTTGCGAACAAATATCTAACGGATCGTTCAACTATGTAATGCAAAACAAATTGAAGAAGATGAAAACACACATGAATAAAGAATCAGAAACTTATTTCTGTACCAAATGAAAAGAACCAGAAACTCAGTGCATGCATAATATCCAGTACATCAGTATGAATAGAAAGTAGTGACCATGACCTTTGCGCAATTTCTGCACTAGCCTCCTACCAACAAAGCCTGTAGCTCCTGTTATCGAGACAATCATCTCATTTTCCTGCAGCATCATGAAAAGAGTGAATGAAGATACATAAAAGATGTCACACCATAACTACAAGACGTACTATTCTGACAAAAATATGCAAAACCTTATAACAGGAGTGATAAATCCAAATTTTTTTAATTGATGTACACTTTCTCGTACGAGACCAGGCAACTACTTGAACTTCCCCAATCATATAGCACAGAAAATTGGAAAGGACGTGCCCGCAGGCCCTGTGCTCCTAATTCCCTCCATATCTTTTTCTTCCATGGAGAGAGGGCCCCTTTTGGTTTTTACTACCCCAGGTATTGGGTTGTAGCCTTTTCAGGTCTTGCTAAGGACCAAAACTTCCCCAATCATATAGCAAGAAAAACTTGGAAAGCCTCAAAGCCAAAAAGAAAAAGGAATGAAGAATGTAAGTTCAAAAAATCAAGAAAGCATACAACATGAAGATAGAGTCAGTCTCAATGACTTTCAGATGATTAAAATACAGTAACTGGAAACATTTAAGAAGGAACAAGGAATACTAGCGACTGCAAATTGACAACAGATGAATCTTGCTCAAGCCTATGAGCTGTTCTACTTTGACCGCAGACAACCTGCATAATGCAAATTCAAACATTTGGGATATAAAGAAACTAGGAAATGGCCATTGGCAACACTAGACCACTCTTGACTGATACTTCCCCGTGGTCGATTAACAGGTGCACTCTCGTACCTTATAATACCAACCCACAAAGCAAAATGTACGAACACAAACCATTCTCTGCAGCTCGCACAATAGGGAAGAACACCAATGCATGCATTGCGACGACAACCCCATTAATGAAGCAAACAACGAAAAGCTCTGCTCTACTCTGAATCTCGGAAACTGGAACCTTCTGCGATTGGTCGGAGGCACAGAACACTCGGAATCTCCTCGCACCGCGGACCTAACAATCCCAACAACAGCGGCGTCCGGTCAAGCAATGAACGAACGAAGCTTGTGATATACATTACAACTCGGACGCAACTTATGATTGACCATCACTCACAGAGAAGGACTGAGGAATGTGGAGAGAGGGAGACACGGAGTGGGTCCACGTCAAAGCGGCGGCTTCGGCGATCACCATTGGGAGGGACCAACGACGGCCTCAGGACTCTGTCGAGCTCCGGTGGTGAACGTCGATGGCGTGCAGAAGCTGAGGATGGCGATGATGGAGGAACGGTGTGATGATGGGTTTATGGGAGCGCGAGTCGTGCGTGGTGGAATTGGAGCCACAGCTTTTTGGCGAGAACTCTATATCCATCGTCGTCACTCGCTTTGAGTTCCTGTCCTCTTCTTCCTTCCTCTTGCGCTGACGATGTTTTCCCCGTGGGGACAGACGAATTTTTTCGGGGAAAACTCTATTTTTTTTTTCCCCTTTTCCCTGCATTATTTTGAATTGGGAAAATGACTAATCTCTATGCTCTTGACCCAATATATAATATTATCATTAAATTTTTAATTTATTTAATATAATTTTTGAAATGTTTATTTAGTTTTTAGATTTTTAATTTGTTCAAGTTAGGGTCACTGGTTCTAGGGTCGGTCAAAATTTTCCTTGAAACTTATCTTGTCCAGATTGATTTTCAGTTTTTGAAACTTAAAATCTATCCTGTATACTTTGCAATCGAATCTGCGGTTCCAAGCGGTTAAAAGGGTCAATTCTAGGGTTGACCCACGAAACAATCAATTCCTTTTTCTTTGTTTCATTTCCCCCCCTTTTTTTTTGTCTCATTTTAAGTCAAGCGAGATGAAAGTTAAAGCAACTATGAGAATTTCCGTTAGTTTCTTCCATAACAAAGTCATAGTACAGAGAGTTTGCTTGAGAATTCTCTTTTCACTCTTGCATTTGTTAGTCGATGGAGATTGTCGTCTGGGTTTTAAAATAAATGTGCAAGCAGAAAATAGTGTTTCTTGTTTTGATAAGAAACTTAATCTTCTGAAGTTATAGAATCGTAATTCAGTTTTGGTTGATTAAGGTGACTTTTGTTTTTTCTCAAAATTTGGAGCGACATGAATTTTCCCTCTTCAAATGGTGCTTTGTTATGGTTGTTGAAAATTGCTCAAAAGGCTTTGAGGGGTTGCCCTTGGTTTTCGATCTATATGTTTTGTGGCATTGAATGTGTCCATTGTGAGCATTTTTTGTAATATAATTAATGACTATTGGTGCGAGTTTTGTAGGAGAAAAGCTGCAAAAAAAGGTCATGAGGAATAGGTGTAGCAGTCAATGCGTTGGGCATACTGTAGGATAAATATTATAGCTGAAGCATGAGATTTGCAAGCGATGGGTTGGCAGTGTTGTAGCTGAGAGAGAAACGCTGCAAGAAAGGTTATCAGTACATTCGTCTAGGGTTACTTTAGCTTCAGTTCTCCAGTTTCCAGTCACCGGTTCACTTCGTACTATACATTGATATAGTTCTAAGTGCTTATCCAAAATCGTGAACTGCTACAACAATGGTCATGAACAATGCGTGACCGTCGGCTAATTGTGATAAGAACCCAACGGTCCACACAAGCTTGTATAATCAATACCGGATTCTTCACCAATATCCTCTAAAAGTTGGTGCAAATCATCTCTTCTCCAACTTATTAAAGAACCCAGCGACGAACAACTACATCCCCGCCATTCTTGCTATCGCACGCTCGTGCATCCTCTTTCTACCCCTTCGACGCGGAAGACTAGCGTGAATGAATTGGTGAATGAGATTGGCTAGGACATGTGACTCCGTATGCTGCAGTTAACTTGTGACAATGTTATGGCAAAAAATAGGGACAGGGGCTGGCATGTGATGGGCCTGCACAAGGGAGCACAACGGGCTCGAAGTCGGCCCAATATGATAGTGGGCCACATTGAGCCCGAACTGCGCCAGGGAACCACTCAAACTCAATGCTCATCGTCGCGACGGGCTAAAAAGCAAGCAGACCACAGTCTCCTTGTATATTAGCCCACGAAAACGTGACCCTAAGCATCACACACCAACATTGCGTCTTATATCTCTTGTGACTGGTGGGCTTAGTTTAGTCCAAGGGAATTGATAGGTTCTTTGAGAGGACCACCTGACTATCCACCCCGTTGATTGTGAAGCGTCTAATGTCCCGACTTTTCTTATCTTCCTCCGGAGAAACATTCTCATAAATCTCGGCGCTCGATAATGGTAGCTCGAGCTTAGCTGTGGCCGCCCAAGTTTCATTGAGCTCATGGTCATGGTCACTTGAGTTTCGTAGAGCTCGGTCGTGGCCCCTCCAGCTTCCAAGCTTCTTCAAGCTTGCTGCCATGGCCAATTGAACTTCATCCTGCTCGGCCCTAGCCATGAGCTCGCCACTCAAGCTTCTTATGACTCACGGCCATAGCGGCTCAAGTTTCATCGATCTAGGCCATGGCCGCTCGAGTTTTGTCAAGCTCCATCATGGAGATAATTTTTTAAGCCGAAGTGGAGACTTATTATGGCCATTAAGTCTAGGCTGATAATCATGGAACTTCGTGAAGTTTCACCAATGAGATAATTTCTCATTGACTAAATAATTTCCCTTTTTAATATTTTTAATGTTTTCCTTTCTTCCTTTTAATTTTTTTGGTTAATGTGGCACTTTGTGGGCTTCATATCGGCGTCATGTCTTAAGAAAGTAATATAAAAAGTCATATAGGCATTTTCCTTTAATCAAATTAGATAGTGCTACCGAATGGACTTGATTGCACCAGTTTGACAAACTTTGAAATTTGATTATACTTTTGAAATTTTTAAGACTAAATTGTATATTATCGACGAGTTTTAGGAATTTTGCTACACTTATCCCATTTTATTTTTCATGGATTTTGTAAATGATTTTCCCAGCAATAATCTCAATGTACTCGCTTTTCTTGTATCATGTAGAATTAGTTCTTTAAAAATTGAGTCATTTCATATATAATTTTCTTGATAAGTACCCCAACGGAACTTGTCAACGCATCTTTTTTTTTGGTGTAAAATGTACGTATTATAACGCAAATGAAGTATAATATTTTAGGGGCATTTCCCAGCATTACAAATAGACCTTATAATTTGAAAAGATGGAGGAAGGAAGTCTCCATATTGTAGCCAATATAACATTTGTCTAGAATGGTCTAATTTTCACTCTACCTCTTACATATTTATGCATCTTATCCAAAATAATATGGATGTCAGTTGACTTGTTTTGAAACCGTTTGTAGTTGCACTCCACCCAAATGCAATATATGGTTGCTAGGAAAGATATCTTGAGGAGTCGTGCCACCAAATCTTTCCCCCTTGTTGCCCTAATCATCCATTAAAGTTCCTCTTTCCATCCTCCTAGAGAGCACCTAATCCCTCATTGTGCCAAGATACTACGATATATGCTGCTAGTCCGCTGACAATGGAAGAATAAGTGTGTTTTGTTTTCTAGACCGGCCTTGCCGAAGTTACATTGGATATCAACTAAAGTCAACCTTCAGGCT